AATTCAGCTTATTTTCACTAATTTTCACTAACTGTTTTCTCTGAATTAATTTAAATCCAGCTTATTTTCCAGCTTAATCCAGCTTTAAATCCAGCTTATTTGGTGTGCACCCACCCACACCAAAACCTGCGCTGAAAGGAGGAAGTCTCAGAGAACTGATACAAGCAGGTAAAAGGGAGGCAAAGAGGAGATTACTTCTTTGGGGGACAGTACGTTGGCTGAAGTTGTCTTCAAGCCTAAGAACGTGCCTGTACATGCCTGCTCTCTCTCGGTTTTGCTGCTGCCGTGGTAAGCTCCCTTATTCCTTCCTCTGTCCTTGCAAAAGATAAGTAACTACATTAAAATGGAAAACAACCAATGAAAGAAAATAGTGAAGTCATTAATTCGATGCGGTCTTTAGGCTTAAATAAACTAACAATTTCCTAGAGTTCTATGTTTGATCAGGATAATGAAATATTTATGTTACCATTGTAAAATGTATTGACCAACAGCACAAGAGGGTATGAATTTGTGTCCATGAGACCCATGAGCATTTGCAAATAAAACTTGCCTCAAATATTTTATGAATACTTTGAAAAATGAACATTTCTGCACAAAGCTTCTCTTATCAAGAAATAATGGGAAGAAATTGAGCAATAGTCCAGTTTTTCCACTTCTGACCACATTTCTGATAGCCCAAAAAAAATAAACCAAAGCAGTCGATATCTGCACTGAATTTTAAAAAGAGCAGAGCAGAGGTTGGAAAAGTTCCACAGGTGAAATGTGTTGCCAAACTAGTGAAATCACAGCCACTCAGCTGACACTATAAATGAAATTCTACTTAAGTGTAAAGGATGAAGCTTGGTACAATGCTGAAATAGAAAATCCATTTCCAGTACTTCCATGTGCCCTTTATTCCCCTCTTTTTCTTCTCCTTATTTAGATGCAGGTTTCTCTCCCAGTCCTCTCTGCATCCAAGATTATCACCACCTTCCACAGTCTTGACCTATGAAGTACTCATTCAGGAAAATTCCCATCTAGTAGAGACTGGTAAAGAAAAATGAGGAACAGAACCAGGCAAGAGACCTCTACCTTACTATCATCTATGCTGTAGATGCAGTAATGAATTCACTTATACTGGTTATTTGACTATTTTTTGCTAACGGAACGTAAGGCTAAATCGATGTGACTATATTATTCATTGAGGTCATTAAAGGCAGACATTTGACTTTAATGTGTGTTTCTGTAGCTATCAGAAATTGGGAGCTTAAAACTAGGTACTAGGCAAAATGTACAGCCTTCCTAGGCCGGACCCTAGGGGATACCATTAAAAATAAAGTCCCATCTACTGTATTCAAAGTCATGATAATTGCCAGTCAGGCAGCATCAGCATCCAGTGGATCCGTTTTCTCTATTGTAAATAAAGATCAGTAAAGGAGATTCTACTGAATATATAGAAGTCACCCTTCAAATAACACTGACATCCCCTAATTAAAAACTGGGTGATATTTGTCCTACAGATAAACAGATGCATTCATCATTATTACTGTCTTACCGATCAAGCGGGTACATCTTGAGCTAATTCATGAGATGGGGAGAAAAACATTGGAGTAATTCTAGTATATTGGCGAACAACAAAACATTTGCCTTACTGAGCAAAAATACGTAATGAAAATGAAAAATGTTAGCTGTACAAGAATTATTCGCTGGTATCCTTCCATGCCATGTTAAGAATAGGCTGTTTTTCTCCATTGCTAGGTTCCTTTGGAGACATGAGTATTTAAAACATGATGACGATGTTTTTAAAAAATATCCAGATTTAGAAAAACAAACAATGATTTGGGGAAAAAGTCCTGGCTTCTGAGCTGATAAGACTTATACCTACTTGTAAAACAACCTTCAGTCCCTCCAAAAAACCACCCCAAACTAAAAAGTTAAATGTTTCTGCTTCCTCCTCCTCCCCTTGCTTGCCTTTACTATGGTGACAAAAAATATAGCTATGCTTTAATTTTATCTTAAAGTAAGTTAGGATTTTTAGTCTTTGGACAAAGTCATTTATACATTATGAAGACGGAAAGCGTTTTGAATGAGCAGAGAGATTTCATCTTGAGAAAACTGAAATGGAAAGTGATTGATAATATGAGAACCAACATATTCAGAATGTTAATGGCTAGATTTCATAGAACAGAAATACGGCAGAGCTGGAATAAATGAGGCAAAGGCGGCACTCGATTCATTTGAAGAAGATAATGTCATAAAAGCCTCAGAGGTAGATTCCATTTCATCATCATACTCCATACATTTAAAAGATTGACAAGAGGCTAGTGAAACGGTATACTGTCTTTACATACATTACGCCCGAAAGCTTTGCCTGCAACAGATGAGGCAGAGATACCGCAAAGGAAATCTTCTGCACTAGTAATGTCCACTCAATACACGGCACTAATGAAGGAACACTAACTCAATCAAGAATCTGCCTACTACTGGGAACTTTCAGAAGACCACTTCTGAAGACCACAATTATTTCAAGTCCTTCAAGTGCCCAGACGGTGCCACGCTCCCCATGCTGAACAGCCCTTTACCCTTTAAGGAATATATAGCTATGCTCTTAAGAGTCAGGGGAGCAGAATCTCTCCCATTACTAACTACAGATATTTTCTTAAGATTTGGGTTTTAGCAGGAGGTTTTCCTGGCTCGGGGGATACAGTGTTCTAGAGTTTAACTACAACGGACCCAGGAGGCCTGTCCACCTGGTTTCTCGTTCTGGCTGAAGGAAGCTTGCCCATCTGGCTGCCTGCGACAGCTACTGCACCTTTCCTAAAGTATACAATTATCTTTTCACATTTTAACCTTGAGTCTTGTCAGTTGAAGAGCTGCCTGTAGAAAGTTGCCGTAATGAGCGTTGCTAACCTCTTGCCAGTGTCCCCATAAGGATTTTATTTTTAACAATTCAGAAGATGCCAAGGAAGAACTGAAAGGTCAAGAAAACTGAGCTAGAAGAAATGGATATGCTGTTTTCAGGCACCTCCATTTGACACACATGGAGAACGGTTTAAAT